TTAAATTTGCTATCCTTTAAATACCCTTATTTAAGTTGTAATGAATGTGGCAAGCTTGGGGTGTCTCTGAGCTTTGTTTGCCCTTTGAAAAACACGTTAAACTCTGCTATATTAAATTTTTTAATTTTATATAAGAAAAAAAAAATTGAACCAATAATTGTTTAAAAATTGAAATCAAATAAAATCATTTGACCCTGGGTATGAATCAAATCTGTTTTCTTAAAATTTACGTTTAAAAGCGTTATAAAATAAAATAGAAATAGAATATACCTATACCTATTGTCGTTTTCAATTTATATATCTTTTACCAAATTATTCAAAAAAAGGTAGTAGAATACTTTCATAATAATTTTTGGCGATTATAAGGTGGATATAAACCAGGAAATAATGTTTTATTTAACTGAACTTGTAAAAAGGATAAAATCTAAAAATATCGAAGCTCTATTTGCTATCATTTATTTTTATATCTTCTAGTATTCTTACAATATAAATATACTCTCCCCAGTTAATTTTTTTTTGTATATAAATAGCAGTAGTTTAAAATAACATTTTATTTTATATTAATATAAATTTTATCAATTCAAAATAATTATTTATATAGTCCCAAATTTTATGATTAAATATAATAACCTTTTAATTTTTAGATAAATAAATGGCTGATGATATCCCGTCCGATATAATGGCCATTCTCTTAAATGACAGGTGTATCTCAGAAGTTAGAAACCTAACCTAATGCGCAGTAAGTTTTTTCTATCGAAACGGAATCTGTTAATCAAACAGATGCTTATGCAAAAAAAATAATTTTAAAAGAATGACCTCACATGCCAGATTCTAGTGCTCGCTTGATTTAATCGCGCCAAAACATAAATAACTAGGTTTATGTTTAATAACAACATAAGCATTAAGTCTTGCAAGTTGACACTTGAGATTTTAAACTTTCAAAATATTTCGGGCGGGGCTCGAGGGACAAAGGAATTCGCGATTTTTACTTTTATAACTTAAACTCTAGTATTAAAAAAAATCTTGATCAATTGACAAGATAACCAAATATAAAATGTCATTGGCATAATTTAAAATTTTTTTATAACAATATTTACACATCATTTAGTATCAGTAGTGAAACATAAAGGCGATACTGCAAATTGAATTAACCGTTCTTTTCGAAGGAACACAGCTGTTTAAAATATGTCAATCTTTAACATAACCTTTTGTCATGCGGGGTATGGGGGGGCAAGGGGTTTGTCATAGGGTGATCCTCATGGCGACCTCATCGCCATGAGCTCAATGGAGGGGGGGGGGGAGGTAAGGCATTGTATTGAGACTTCATAAATCTAAATTTAATTTTGGACTTAAGCTAATAAAAATTATCTCCCTACACTCCCTCCTCCCCCTAAATATTTTATATACAATAGTGATCTGCATTGAGCCTAATTCTTCAAGCCCAACCCTTCCCGTGGCTTTTTCTGGAAAAATTATCCTGCCCTACCCTAACAAACATTTTTCCATTTGTCGCGAAAAGCCTGACCCGTATTAAAAATTATTGGTCAGTCCTGCCCGGTCTGAATTTATTTAAATTATAGACATATAAAAAAATTTCAAAATATTTTCACATTTTTACACGTATATAATCGAGTTTTTGAACACTCCGCAAACAATTAATAAATTTTGGGATCTTGTTTCTTGAAAAAAAAATTAAAAAAAATATATATGTATCTCAGTTTTAAATTCCAAATTTAAACCCAAGCCTTTAGAAATTGGATCAATTTTATTAGTAATTAATTATTCGGTCTAAATAATAATAGTAGTTTGTGAAGCCATTGCGTCTAATTATGATAATCAGTATTAGATGGCTATGGTAGTTGATAAAAATTTTTTTTTAATATTCAGAAATATTTAGGCCAGCTCAAAATAGAATAACATTTTTTTTCTCTGATTTATCAATCGATAATTTGTCTTAAAAGTATATAAGCGGCATCAGTAGGAAATTCCAGTAAATAAAATCGTGATTATATATATATATATTTATTTTTAAAAACCTACAGCTAGTTATACAAGCCTCAAAAATTCAAAAATAAAATATTTATCGCGAAAAAAGAGAAAATGTTGTTTATCAAAGACGGATTATTAAATATAATTTTAGGAAAAAAATGAAGCAAAAAATGAAGAATTTTTTTTTTATTAAGTAACTTTATCAAAGGTCTGTCAATAATTTATGAAAGGGGGGAGGTCAGGAGTTTTCCTAATAGCCTCCCCCCCTCCTTCCATTAGTTAAATATTGGTCAATCCCCTGTTTAAGAAAATTGGCTAGATGCTCTTCCGGGTAATGTTGCTAGCTAAATGGTTGTATAAGTATCTTATTAAATGCATATGGAATGTGGGAGTGGGGGGGGGGAGCAGTTATTCTCTTTATGGCTCTGATCCTGAATATAATAACAATTTTTTTAACAATGATTACCTTTCAACCAAAAATTTCTAGTAATAATTTGTTAAGGAGAACTTCTACCCAGAAACAAAATATTAATCCATATGAATAATAGGAATACAATTTCAACTCATTGAGGCATACCCATATAATTATATTCCATTCGTTTGTAAATAGTAAGACCGGGAATGTGATGACATCGGGTTCGCGCCAAATCTTAGGGTGGGCCCACGTTCGACTTATTACTATACAGAAGCTGTTTAGCGGACTTTAAAGCTCAGGCTAAATTGTCTATAAAGTAAGAGAGAGAAAAACGGGGAAAAAAACAAAAAATAGTAAAAAAAACTAAGAAGAAAGAAACAAAAAAACGAGAGAAACTAAAAAAAAATGCGAAAGCCTAAAGTATCAAAAATAAGTCGAACCAGAACATAACTTTAGACTTTTATTCCTAAAATAAACTATAATTTTTCATAAGCTATTTAGAAAATTGAAGTTTTAAAAGTTATACCCTAAAAGATACTTCAAAAAAATAAGGTTTTATAAGGATATTTCTATTTTATCCTTTAGTATAATTAACAATGATTCAATTGATTTTAGAAAAATTCTTCAAAAAAAATCTTTGAGCAAAAATCTTTTTCCCGTTTGAAGAACAAAGATTTTTGATTAAATTTAAATTAAAACTGCCAAAAATTAACTTTAGCAATTTTTAATGCATAAAAACATCTTTCAAGATGAAATTAAAAATTAGTCACAATTTAAAGATTTTTCTTCAAAATAAAGATTACAGTTATATAAGAATTATAATGAAATAAGCTATATATTTTTTTCAATAAAAGGAAATATTAAATTTAATAACGATTTAACAGGACTTCAACTAATCTAAACCTCATGACTCTCCCCCTTTCTTATGTTGCATGGCTTACTTTACCCCGAAAATTTTTCTCAGGAAAAATAAAAATTAAATATATTTTACATTAATTTATTCTTTGATATAACTGATTTAAAACCTTAAAAAAAATATATATATTGGTAACAAAGACATGCAAATTCGATCCATAACCCGGCCATATCCGTATATTCGAACCGACCCGAAGTGGGCCATGAAATTGATATTCTATAAATCCGGTAAAATATTTTTACACAAAATCCGGGCCATTTTATAAAATAATAAATTTAAACAATACCCAATTAACTGTATTGCATCATTGTATAATATATAGATTTAGTTGGAGCCGGCCCATATAACGAACATAGTTTTAAAAATCAGGGCCTGGTTTAAAAATTGGAAACCCGAATTGGGTATAAAAATTCTATCTCCTGTACGACCCCTCATTTAAAGTTAGCCCGATCTCTGCGCTAACTGTGAATGAGGGGTGACTCTGATTTATAGGTTTTATATGAAAAATAATTACAACCTTAATTTTATAGAGCGTTCAACATTTTATTATCATCCTAACTTAACCCCCTGTCTTCCTTATATAAATACATTTAAGTTATATATATGAAGCGATCTCTATGGACAAATATTTCTTAGGAAATTTTAAATCTATAAAAATGGATTGTTTTCATATAGAAACCCCTCCCCCAGCATAACCCTCCCACTTCTACTTATAATTCCTTTCCTAGAGTTCTTACTTTGGATATCTTATAATTATCGATATTTTTGGTTGTGTTCGCATTTCCCCATTTTTTCTTATTTTTCACATTCCAGATAAAACTGGTCATTTTCTAATAAAATCTAATTTATATTTACGAATTGTTATTTTCAGGCGAAATTATTATGTATCAGAAGTTTGAAATGCTTTTCAAGATTTTTTTATCTTAAATGAAGATATTCTTGAGAATGCTCTCAAGTAAGATTTTATGTCAAATTTTACCCTTAAAATTCCAACTCTATTTTTTTGCAAAAAATGTTTTATTAAAGTAAATCCTTTGTGACTTTTTAAGCATAAAAAAAACCTTCCATTTTTAACACAACGTGTCGTTAAAAATGTGTCTTTTTTAAAAAAAAATTGCTCAAAATTTTAAGCGAAAAATCTTCCAAAAAAAACTCTATAATATACCTTATAAACTACTAACTTATATTTACCTAGAAAATATTATGCAAGCCTTAAGATATTTTTTTTTCATAGATGTCACAAAGGTATAGAAGATCTATTAGCAAAATCTCGAGGCTTCGGTAATATTTTACTGGCTAAAGTTGGCCGTTTCTAAAAATCGGCTAAAATCGAGCCGTTTAACAACACTACCACCTTATTTTTCTGTCTATCTGTCTGTCTGTATTTCTTTCTTTCTTTCTTTCTTTCTTTCTTTCTTTCTTTCTTTCTTTCTTTCTTTCTTTCTTTCTTTCTTTCTTTCTTTCTTTCTTTCTTTCTTTCTTTCTTTCTTTCTTTCTTTCTTTCTTTCTTTCTTTCTTTCTTTCTTTCTTTCTTTCTTTCTTTCTTTCTTTCTTTCTTTCTTTCTTTCTTCTTCTTTCTTTCGTTCTTTTCTACCTAGTGAATTTTGTGAAAATTTTCTATTAATTATTAATATTTTTCTAAATTTATAATATAATTTAGATAAAATCTTTATTTTATACCTCTCATGCTTCCAGCCATACAGAAATGTTAAACATATATGGGCTAATAATTTTAGCAAAGAAAGTTTATTATTCCCCGAAGGTATGATCTATTTGATTATATTGATTGTCACCCACTCCCACAGAGTCGTGAATCGAATGCTATGTATTTTTTTAATCTAAATCATGTTATAATTCCCTATAATATCGAATTTAAATGCGCTGACGATGGGATAAATGATCAAATATTTTGGGTAAAATATATGGGCGAATAAAAATGATGAGCAAAGATAAACTGTCACTGAGTTGTTTTCGGGGATTTTATAAGATCCCTTTTTATAATTTTGTGTGCATCATTGATTATTTTTTTGAATATTTTTTGATTATATTCTTGTTCCCTGAGTTTTTCTCCGTTTTTTATGATAAGTTTCCACCACCCCCCAAAAAAATGTAGAAATACGATATTTTTAAATTTTTATATTTTTTTATTTTATTTTTTTTGATATTATATTTATATAAAAATAATTTTTTTTTAAAAATGACTTCGATTGAAATTTTAAAAGGAAAAAATATTAAAAGAAGTTGAGATGGGTGGGTGCACAGATCATTCCATGATTTTTGATATTTAATTTTTTTTTTTTAAATGTTAAAAGTTAAAGTAAATAATTAGAAGTAGAAAAAAAATATATATATTTCAAACATATAACTTTTCTCATTTATTTATATTAAGATATACAATTTATTCTTTTTTTCAAAATGTAAAGGTAAGAACAAGAAAAAATAAGATTCTTATTTGATCAATAATTTCGATAAACTATTTTTAAAGAAATTTAAAAAAAAACTTGTAATTTATAACTTTGTAAAATGTACAGGTATAATTATAATCAAAATAAATGCTAATTACCTTGGTAGTAATTTTTTTAAATTTATTTTTAGTATTTTTAGTATTTTTTTTTTAAATATAGAAATTTATTTTTTTAAAATTTAAAATATTTTTTTATATATATAAAATTAACAAAATAAAAAAAAAATGGATATAATATATTTTTTATGCCAACGTTTATTGGTCTTTTCTTTATAGATTTAGTATTTTTAGATTATTTGGACAAGATAATGAAGGGGATATTTGGATTGGAATTTTGGTGAATGATTGACTGGAGTAAATTGTGGATTATTTTTTAATTATTTTTTATAATTTGGGGATAAAAATTTTTTTTTTTTAAAAAAAAACCGAAAGAATATTATTTATATTTAAAAGTTTTTATTTTATCAAAAAATAATATATAGCGGTTAAACCTCTAAAAGTGAACATCTCTATACTATGACCACCTAAAAAAAAATTCAAAATATATAATATAAAAATTAATTTTTTATAAAATAACCCTCATTCACTTTTTTTACCATGCTTCCAATGCCGATGTACCTTTCGTAAACGGGATAGGTTCTAAATCGTTATAAATTGGGGTCGTTTTGCTTATAGAAAAATGCCTCAGAGGCTGTCCTAGCTAACTTTTTCGGCTTACATTTTATAGGACATTTTTTAAAAAAAGTAGTTTCGAAATTTTGAACACATTCCATCTTTTGTTTGAATCAGCTGGTATTCATAAAAAAAAATATATAGTAGCTATTCCCGCAGCGTTACAGAAAGTAGGTAATTAACATACCTACTTTGGGGGAAAAAACGGATTTTAGATTAAGAATCCATTTTGATTTTTCTAAAAAAGTTATAAATATAATAAAGTAAAAAAAAATATAGCTGACCCCTTTATTGTAATTATCTAATAAATTTAAAAAAAACAGTATAATCAAGGTTAAAATAAAGTCAACCAATCAAAAAATTGTTTGCTCTTTACTTCATCAGGAAAAGAAGAATTTAAGATTTTAGCTAAAATAATATTATGCAAGCCTCGAGATTTCGTTGATAGATTCATAAATCTATCTATCATAAATAAGAAAAAACTTAAGTTTGCTTGCATTGAATTTTACGTAATTATATAATAGAATATTTTTTTTTCAACCAATCAAAAAATTGCAAACAGGAATTTTTCATCTCATTTTACCATAAAAATATTTTTTAAAAAAAATTCTTTTCCTTTTTAAACCGCTAATTTATTTATTTTTTTTCTTTCTCTAAAAAAATATGTGATTCAACATTTCAATTCATCAATCAAAATATTTAGGTCTTTTTAAAGACTGATTTTGAGAAGAGGAAGAAGGGAAGAAAATAATAAGATAATATTCATATTTATTAAAACCATTCCCTGTTTTTAAACAAATTAATGGGGAAGGGAGGGGGGGGGGGTGGAGGAAGCAAAAAAATTCGATATTTTTCGATGTTATCTTATTTTTCGGTTATTTTATTTATTTTTTTTTGTATATTTTTGTGTTTTTTTAGAAAATAAATAACAATTTGTTATATAATATAAGTGGGGGTCGCTGGCCTCATTTCGCTAATGCAAAAGTAATATTTAAAAAAATAGATAAATCCACTAGGAATGATTATAAATTTATAAAAACATTATTTACAAATAAAAATCTAAAAAAAAAAAAATTTCAAAAAATAAAATATATTGATTGGTAAAATTTATATATTTAATTTCTTTTCAAAATCACAAATCACTTAAAATCCTGAGAATTTGGGGGAGGAAAAATTCCAGAATGCGTTGTACTTGTGTTTTTTTAAAATAAAATAAGGATTATTGGTAGAAAAAGGTTCCCTGAAAGGACATAATACGCCTAAATAAAAGCAATGAATTTAGATCCAGAGATTAAACTAATGCAGGTTTTTCGATGTTAAAAAGAATTAATTTTATAAACATCATGCAAACATAAGCACACACCGAAATCAATAAATAAAATATATTGAGAAAGAATAAAATAAATTGGTTTTTTATTTTTTTTAAAAAAAAAAAAGAAAAAAGGTTCAATGAGTTATATAAAATTTATATTATATTATGTTAATATATTATTTTGTTAATAAATATAAATAAAGTTATAAAATATTTAGAATTTTACTACGAATAATTGACTTATTTTAGCCCCACGAAGAACCGAGGAAGAGTACTTAGCTTATTTTTTGCTCCTCAATGAAATAAGGGAATTGTCAATCGCATCATTTTTTTTAAAAAAATGTTTATAAACGTGGGTTTATTTTGCCCACGAATCTTTAATTTTGCAGCGATAACTTGGGATTATTTTATTCAGCCTCTCGATAAACCGAGGAAATACCAAATTTTACCTTTGTAGCGATAACTTGAGCTTATTTTAACCCCCTCGATTAACCGATAAAATGGCTAATAGCAACAAATATATAATTTTTGTAGCCGTAACTAGGGCTCATTTAAACTCCTAGATCTTCCAATTTGAATAGAATCCCGAATTTTTAAATTCCAATATATATTTTTTTAAATATTTTATTTTTCTTTTCCCCTTATATAAATAATTGAATAGAGATTGTAATTACCTAAAATAATGCCCCCCCCCCCCAAAAAAAAAATATATTTATATATCATGTTCAATTTATATTTGTATTTTTTTGGAGGATTTATTAAGTTGCCTCGATAAATCCAGAATTTAAATACATGGAAAGTTAAAATGCTCATTTATTTTCTAGCTTATTTGCTGGTTTACTAATTTATAATTACATAAAGCCAATCATGTATATATACTACTCGATTGGCCATTCTTTAAGTGTTCGTACATAGGAGCTAGACGTGGACTAATTGTATTTATTTATCGTTGTATGAATTCATAATTAATGGCATTTAATCGACGCTCAAACCACAAAATGGGGCTAGAGCTGACCCAAACCCTATGTACAAACACTTTTAACGGCATTTAATGAACGATTCGCCAATCTAGTAACAAACAGAAAGGCGGAATAAATAAATAATTGCAATAAAATCTATATTTTTTTTAAAAAAAAATTGTTATTTAATCCTTAAAATCAAGTTTGTAAATCATTGGTAATTATCGATAAACGAATAAATAAAATAAATGGCTAGTAAAAGAGAAATAAAAAATATATATTATATTTAGGTCACATAGAGGGTATTATACCCTGGAGAAAAAAAAAATATTTATTTTTCTTAAAATTTATAACGGAAGAAAATTAAATTTATTTAAAAAAAAGCAATATAAAAAGAAAAAAAATAATAAGTAATAAAAAATAAATAAATTTGGGCCACTTAAAAAAGGACTTATTCAAAAAAATGGCAAAAAGAAACAAAAAATAATAGAATGGAAATAATAAAAAAAAGAAAGATATAGAAAAGATAAATGGCGGTTTTCGTGATCAAAGAATTAATAATATTAAAAGTTTTTATAAATTTTTCCTAAATTATTTTTTTAATAAAGTTAAATAATATTGATTCAATATCTTCTTTCATTAACGCTTTTTTTTAAAAAAATGGTAGAGGGGGGGGGGGAATTGGAAAATGGAATGGGAATAAAATCGGAATGGATTGGGAAAAAAAAAGAAAAAAAGGGGGGTGGGTTTTGTTTCAAAAAAGTTTTATTTATTTATTTTTTTTTATGGAAAATTTAAACAATAAAACGGGGTTACTGAACCCCCCTATAGTTTTTTTTTGTTTTGTTTTCTTCAAAATATAATTTTAATAATAAAAAATAAATATTATGTAAAAAATAATCTAAAAAATCATCATTTTTTTTTTCATATATCAATAATCTAAAAATTTTCTGTTTTGTTTTTCGTTTTTTGATTATCGGTTTTTTAAAATGATTTTTGGTGAGGAGGAAGATTAAAATTAATATGATCTTTAAACAAATTTCTTTCTTTCTTTATAAAATCTTATCATTTATCAATACATAATATTAATTCTGTTACTTGTTATTTGTTGCTTGCTCGTCAAAAAAAAATGTTAGGCGGGATAAGATAGTGGAATTTGTAATTTAAAAAAAAACAGTCAAAGCGAGGAATGAGGTGTAAAATTATGACAATACCGTAATTAATAATTCATTTCCGGATACGAGAGATTTGCGCAAATCATGAATCTGAAGATATTGCGATTATGCAAGTAAGCGTCAATAATGGGGGATGCTATTTAAGACTTGATAGCCACATAAAATTTTGAATGGCTCATTTACAAAAAATTTAGGAGCAAGTAATATATAATGATTTGTAAAGCCCCTCCCCCCTTCA